ATGCTATACTACAATTTGCAAATATTTTTGACTATATCTCTTTGTATATACATATTTTTAATTTTAGTGGCTGCTGTGGATATTACATTATGCATATGACATAACTCATCACAGTCTTTTGGTATTGACATTTTACCTCTTTGATTGATATGTAAACCTTAGCCCCATTTGGTCCTTTACTTGCCCCAGTTATAATACAATTGTCTTAAATATTTCCTCTACATACATTGAGAACTACATCAATGTTTTGGTTGTTGGTTCCACTGTCAATATAATTTAAACAAACTTGAGAGAAGAAAGATACTGTCCTATATTTACTTGTAATTTTACACTTTGAATTGTTCTTTAATCCTGATATTCCAAGTTGCCTTCTTTGATTATTTCCTTTTTGTTTAATGAAATTCTATTAGCCATTCTTTAAGAGTAGGTTTGCTGGAAACAATTTTTTTTTCTTTCACTTGAGACTATATTTCACCTTCATTCCTGAAGAATATTTTCAGTGTATAGAATTCTGGGGGGGGGGGGGGCGCCAGGGTGGCTCAGATGGTTAAGCATCTGCCTTCAGCTCAGGTCATGATCCCGGGGTCCTGGGATTGAGCCCCACTCAGGCTCCCTGCTCCTTGGGGAGCCTGCTTCTCCCTCTGCCTCTGCCTCTCTCTCTCTCACTGTCTCTCATGAATAAATAAATAAAATCTTTAAAATATTAGAATTCTGGATTGGCTGTTTTTTTCTTTTAGCACTTGAAAAATGTGCTACTTCTTTCTGGCCTTCATGGTTTCTCTTACTTTTTGTTTTTTTGGCCTTCATGGTTTCTGATGAATAATCTATTGCCATTCAAACCATAGTTTCCCTATAGGTAACGTGTCATTTCTCTACCTGCTTTCAAGACTTTTTCTTTGTCATTTTTTTCTTTTCCTTTTCGGAAGTTTGATTATGATGTTTTCTGGTGTAGTTTTCTATTTTCTTTCTTTTCCTTTCTTTTTCTTTCTTTCTTTCTTTCTTTCTTTCTTTCTTTCTTTCTTTCTTTCTCTCTCTCTCTCTCTTTGCTTTTATATATACAACTCTTAACATTTTTATTGCATGTTTTTTCCAGCTTTATTGAGATATAATTGACACATAATATTGTGTAAGTTTAAGGTGTACAACATGTTGATTTGATACATTTAAAAGTTGCAAAATGATTGCCACCATAATATTAGCTACCACTTCCATCTTGTCACATAGTTACCCATTCTTTTTTTTGTAATGAAAAGATTTAACATCTATTCTCTTAGCAACATTCAAGTATATGATACAGTATTATTAGCTATAATCACCTGCTTTACATTATATTGCCAAACTTGTTAATCTTATAACTGGAAGTTGTGCCCTTTGACCAGTATCTCCTCATTTTTTTTCCACCCTTCCAACTCCTGGTAACCACTAGATTCTCAGGGTTTGTCTTTTTTAGATTCCAGATACAAGTAACATTATACAGCATTTGTTTTTCTCTGTCTGACTTATTTCACTTATCATAATGCCCTCAAAGTCCAACCAAGTTGTCACAAATGGAAGGAATTCCTTCTTTCTCATGGCCGAATAATATTCATATGGTCTTCTTTATCCATTCATCTATTGATGGACACTTAGGAATTGTAAGTAATGCTGCCATGAACATGAATGTGCAGACATCTCTGCAAGATCCTGATTTCAATTCCTTTGGATATATACCCAGAAGTGAGATTGCTGGATCCATATGGTAGTCCTATTTTTAATTTTTTGAGGAAACTCCATACTGTTTTCCATAGTGGCTGTACCAATTTGTATTCCCACCAAGAGTGTACTAGTTTTTTTTTTTTTCTTCCTCTACATTTTTACCAATATTGTTATCACTTATCTTCTTGATTATAGCTATCCTGACTGGTGTGAGGTGATATCTCATTGTGGGTTGGTTTCCTTTTCCCTGATGATTAGTGATGTTGAGTACCTTTTCTTTTCTTTTTTTTTTTAAAGATTTTATTTATTTTTTAACAGAGAGAGAAACAGCGAGAGCGGTAACACAAGCAGGGAGAGTGGGAGAGGGAGAAGCAGGCTTCCCGCCGAGCAGGGAGCCCGATGTAGGACTCGATCCCAGGACCCTAGGATCATGACCTGAGCCAAAGGCAGACGCTTAATGACTGAGCCACCCAGGCACCCTGTTGAGTACCTTTTCATGTACCTGTTGGCCATCTGTATGTCTGGACAACTGTATATTCTAGCTCCTCTCTCAATGTTTAAATTAAGTTGTTATGTTTTTGCTGTTGAGTTGTAAGTCCTTTTTATAAATTTTAGATATAGGTGGCTAACAACATAAAAAAAAAGAGAGAAAGATAAAAAAATAAATTTTAGATATTAACCCCTTATCAGTTATATGATTTGCAATTATTTTTCCCATACTGTAGGCTACCTTTTCATTTTGTTAATTGTTTCTTTTGCTGTGAGAAGCTCTTTAGTTTGATGTAGTCCCATTTATTTATTTTTGTTTTTGTTGCTTGTGCTTTGTTGCCACATCCAGAAAATTGCTGCTGAGACCAATGTCAAAGAACTTTATCCCTATGCTTTCCTAGGAGCTTTACAGTTTCGGGTCTTAAATTTTAGTCTTTAATTCATTTTAAATTCATTTTTGTGAAGTGATGTATTGGTGTGGTTTTCTTTGGGTTTATCCTGTTTGAGGTCGACTTATCTTCTTAAATCTGTAGATTTATGCCTTTCACCAAATTTAGGTAATTTTGATCTATTATTTCTTCTAATATTTTTTAGTCCCACACTCTCTTCTCCTTTTGGGACTCTGATTACATGAATGATAGCTCTTTGGTAGTCCTACAGGATCTTGAAGCTCTCTCTCTCTCTCTTTTTTTTTTCTTTTCATTTTTTCAGCCTATTTTCTCTGTCAGAGATTGGATAATTTCTATTGACCTACTTTTGAGTTCACTGATTTTTTATTCCATCATTTCCATTCTGCTATTGAACCTATCCAGTGAATTTTATATTTTTCAATTCTAAAATTTAATTCTATAACTGTTTATTAAATTCTTAGTTCAAAAATCTCCACTGAATTCTTCTTTATATCTTTAATTTCTTTGCCAAGACTTTCTGTTTTTTCAAGTGCATTTGTTATTTCTTGTTGAGGCATTTTTATAGTGTCTTTAAATTCTCTGTCAGAAAATCCCTAAATCTGTATCATTTCAGTGTTAGTATTGTGTCTTTTTTCATTCAAACTGAGATTTTCCTGGTTCTTGGTATGATGAGTAATTTTTTATTGTGTGCTAGACTCTTGGAGCATTGTGTTATGAGACTCTGGATCTTATTCAAATCTGCTATTATAGCAGGTGTCTGCTAATGCTGCACCAGTGAAGCAAGTGTGTGTGTAGGGGTGTTATCTCCTCACCACTAGGTCCAGGTAGAAGTCCAATCTGCCAGTTTTCTTTTTCCAGGATGGTTAGCTAAAGTAGGGTGGGTATTGTCAAAAAATATTTCTGCCTTGCTAGGTCATCTTTTTATCTCTTTCTTGGTCCTTTGAATAAAGAAAGCAGGTTTGGGGGGAGCTATTTTTTTTTTTTTTTGCCTGCACCTGTTGGCATTTCTCAGTTGCAGACTTTCCAGTGCCCAATCTGAGATAAATAGGAGGCAAAAAAGAAAACCCAAGGAACTTACCACAGTGTCAATCCTTAAGTTCTGAGGACTGTAGCTACTCTGCCTTCTTCTCTCCACTTTTTAGACTCTTCTTTAAAAAAATTAAAATATATATTATGCCTAGATACTTTAGTTATACTTAGCAGGAGCAATAAGGAGAAATGAATCTACTCCATCTGACATAGAACTAAAAATCCTACTTTAACGCAGTAGTTGGCCTATTGGGTCTTTAAAGCTGCTACCTGTTTTGATTCTGTAATTGGAAGAGTCAAGGAGGGATAATTTGTCTTTTTGTCTCCAGCAATGACTGCATAGGGAGAGTACTTTGGTTTTTTATGTAGCAGATATTTTGCTCTGAGTAAATCAGTAAGTTAACATTTACCTAAAGCTAGTAGAATTAGGATTTGACACAGGGCCTGGAGAGTTCCTGACCAGGCTAATGTTCTACATCTCTTTTGAAAGCTATGCAATTAAAGAGCAACTGTAGTTTCTTCCTACAGTTTCTTCCTATAGTTTCTTCCTGTTAATTGGTGTGCTTCCTGTATTTCCCCATGACCTCTCTGGTACTGGCGTTTATTGTATACACTTATGCCGTATATTCCTAAATTGGGTGAAGCTCCTTTAAGAGAGTAGGAAACAGCTCCTCTACATCCTCCTTTCCTTACAGGTGCCTCCTGAACAGTCTTACACCCTGTAGAGGGTCACAAATCTCTGATACAATTATTCTTTCTCCTGTGAGTCTGGGTAGCATAAGCTAGTCCTCCTTAGGTGCAGCCACCCTGCTTTCAGACCTTGAAGAGTAGGACTAGGAGAGATAGCATCTTCCCAGGGCAGACCTGTCTTTAAAAAGCACTGAGCTCAACGAGAAGACCCACAGTGGCTACCCAACCCACCAGGAGCTGTTAATGGAAATCTCTTCCCAGGGTCTTTGTGTTTGGGGCTCACCTCACCATTTTAAGCCATAAACCAGAGAGTTCACATCTTTGTTTATTGGTTGCCAGCCATTCCTTTATGACTTTCGCCTATCCACCCACCCTTCCCCCAATAAATACATTTGTTGATGAATGGAATAGAATGAATGAACTTGGAAGCTACAAAGGTGCCTGGAAACCCAGAAATTCTCATGAATTGCACATTTATTGACTGAGGATGTACCGGGGTTGGGAGGTAGTTGTACAGAAACCAAAAAGGAAAAACTACAGAACAAGATGCAGCCCCAGAGCTCAGTAGCTCGGGTGTTAACACCTGAAGGATTTAGGAACCTCAGGGCAATATCATGAGAGCGCTAAGCCCATTGGCGCCCACGGAGAACACCTCCATCTCTTCTTCTCCGCGGCCTCTAACGGACCTTATTTTCTTGGCCAAGTAGGCGCCTGCTTCTGCTGGGTCTGGTGGCAGATCGGGACGCCCTTGCCACCCCCAGGGTAACAGCCGCCCCCACCACCAATGGAGAAGCAGCCCCCGCCGCCCCCGGAGGAGCCGCCGCCGCCGCCGCCGCAGCTGGGGAAGCAGCCCCCGTCGCCCCCGGAGGAGTCGCCGACGCAGCTGCCTCCGCAGGATCCCCCTCCGTAGCTCTGCTGGGGTATGCACGAGGTCTGGATGGTCCGCTGACAGAAGTAGCCAGAGCCGCCGCCGCAGCCGGAGCTGCCGCCGCCCCCGGAGGAACCGCCACCCCCGCAGTCGCCGCTAGAGACGCCTCCGTACCTCTGGCACTGGACCTGCTGACCGGAGTCGCCGCCGCCGCCGCCGCCACCGGAGTAGCAGCCGCCGCAGCCGGAGCCGCCGCCGTCCCCGGAATAGCCACCCCCGCAGCCAGAGTCGCAGCCGCCGCCCCCGGAATAGTCACCCCCGCAGCCGGAGCTGCCGCCGCCTTCGTAGTAGCCACCACCCCCACAGTACTTGACACTCCCACCGGAACCTCCTCCGCAGCCTCCGGAGCCATCACCGCAGCCGGAGCCTCCGCCGCCACCAGAGTAGCCTCCGCAGCCAGAGCTGCTGCCTCCCCCGAAATACTTGACGCTCCCTCCGGAGCCGCCGCCGCCGCCGCCGCCGCCGCCGCAGCCCGAGCTGCCGCCGCCGCTGTAGAAGCCACAGCCACCGCCGCCGCCACCGCCGCCGCCGCCGCCGCCCGAGGTCTTCCCGCAAACCACTGGGCACATGGAGGTGGGCTGCTCTTTCTGGTGAGACATCTTGTCTAAGGAGGAATGGAACCCTGGAAGGACAGCAGAAAGCATCACTGGAGCAGCCCTAAGAGGATGCAGCTGAGGAGGCAGTTGCAGCCATGGAAACGCCCATCAGCCTCAGCAGCACTGCCTGGGTCCGGCTTGATGCCTCCGTTGAGATCCAGGAGAGCTCGCAGGTGGGACTCCTAGGATTAGTGCTTTCGGAAGAGTTGCACTCCCCCTCAGAAAGTCTTTACCAAGCTTTAAGTAGCCCAGTATGTTGCCCATTTTTCTCTCCCAGCTCCCCCTCTGGCATCTGCTGTCTGATTTGGCAGCAAATGACCCACACTCCCTCCTCTGTCCTCGACTTCCTGTAAAATGAGAGGGTTAGAGCACTTCAGCTCTCAGGTCTCCAGTCCCAACATGGATTCTCTGAATGCAAATAGAAATTAGCACAAACCTCCACCTAAGGTGGGGGATTTTACCCATCCCTGGCACAACAGAGGGAGGTTTGTCTGAATGTCAGAGGTTGTTGCTCCCCACCCCACATTCTCTGCAAAAGTTCTTAGTTCAGGGGTGCCTGGGTGGGTGGCTCAGTCGGTTAAGTGTTAGATTCTTGATTTCTGCTCAGGTCATGATCTCGGGATTTTTAGATCGGACCCAGAGGCAGGCTCCTCCTTCAGCAGTGAGTCTGCTTAAGATTCTCTCTCTCTGCCCCCCCTCCTAAAATAAATCTTTAAGGGGAAAAAAAAAAAAAAAGCTCTTAGTTCAAACTCTTGGTCTGAGCCTAGCCATGATACCAGGGCTAGTTAACAGAAAAGCCCTCACCACCACCCACCCACCCCCGTCCTGTCTGGACATAGGGGAAGGGACCCAGTGGTCCTTTGGACCAGCATCTCTGACCGAAGATGTAGGCTTTGCTTACATCCAAGCTTGGTTGAGGGGACCATTACTAGTAGGAAGTTGTGTCCCAGCATCTCATACAATTTTTCTCTCAGAACATCTCTGAAAAACTGGCACCCGGGTTCCTGTGGTTCCCCAAATCTCCCCCATCTGCAGCATCCTCGGAATTACTCTCCCTGTTCTCCCTTACTCTCTGGAAGTAAGACTCAGCCTCTCCTCCTGACAGGTGCAAGAGATCCATCCTGCCCACTCACAGGGGCAGTCTGCAGAATGTCCCTCTCCCCCAGAGAGACAGGAAGTAGTCTTGCCTTTGTGGAGTTCCCATTCTGGCCAGAAAACGAGAGACACCATCTGCACAGCAACAGCTCAGCTCCCAACTTCCAACCTAAATTCCCTCTAAACATGAATGCAGTTGGAAAGGCAGAGGTCCTGTCGTTTCCAAAGAGGAGAGAGGCCTTGCAGGTCTGTCTCCTGGTCCACCTAGTCTGAGCAGGGCTGGGGAAGACTAGTTGGGAAGACGAAAGCCAGGAGAACTCACACTTACCTGAAGCACCAGGGGCTGAGTGAGGAGAGGAGATGCTGGCTTATGTGAAGAGCTCTGGAGCTCCCAAGGTTTTATACACTGAGCCCTGACTCATCTATTGATCTGAGTCCGCCTCTCATGTTTGCACTCAGTTATGTGACCCATGGCTCTTGCCCCACCTGTCTGTTGATTACAGGCAAAGGGTGGCCCATTCATGAAGATTTTGGCCTACTTGAGATGGGCAGCCTAGTGTGCATCTCTGATGCAACTATGTGGCATCGGGATGGCCAGCCAGAGTGGATGGCAGACATTGTTTCCAAAACCTCTGGCAAAGGGCGCATGCCATGAGACCTAGGTCTCTGACTCTTGAGGTGGCCCAAGAAAGTCACACTGGAGATCTCAGTCCTTAGTCCGAGGAGTAGGACCTCCTGTTTGGCTTCTGATCCCATTGCTTGGAACCCTCAGAACTTTAGAGAGAACCTGTCCCTCTTTTGCCAAAAGTTTCTCCCCCAGAGTTTCATGTGTGCTTCACTGAAGTGTTCTTGTCTTGAAACTAGCTTGAGAGAATGCATGAGCACCCAGTACCCAGTTCTGGGCTGCACACCATGGACAGGGCTGCAACTAATGGGACATGGGTATCTACTTGGATTTGTTCCTGGAGATTTATTCCTCTGAAAAAAAGTGATTGTTGATTCTCACTTTCCATGCAAAGGAACAAACTAAAGAGCTCGATCATGTGGTCCTTCATACCATGGCCCTTTGGCCCTGGCATCCTGCAGTCTTGTGTGGCAACAGTGACCTCAGCCTAAGAGGCAGCTGTGGAATGGAAGGGACTTGAAGTTAGGTGACTGGATTTGGGTGTTCCCTATGCTACTTGCGAGCTATGTCACCTTGGACAAAGTCACAGCACTTTGCCTGACATAGGAGGCACTCAGTAAGTATTTGTTGACTGCTGAATGAATAGGCTTCTGATGACCAGTTACCTTGCCTATCACATAGGAATAGTAAAATCTGTTTCGTAGGCTTGGGAAGAGGGAATACTTATAATAAACTGTAGAAGGTGATGCTGTTCTTTTTATTGTTTTCTCCTATTACAGCACAGTCTTACCTCCAACTTGGCCTGCCTTTGGACAGCAAGGCCAGAAGGGAGTCTATGGATAGCTAGAGGCAGTTCTTCAGTAAGAAAATACTCAAAAATTCTCCATTGACCCTGGACCAATAGCATCACTTCTGTGTACGAACAGCATGCTCCCCCCTTCTTTCATCACAGGAACTCAATTGCTATTGTTTAAGATATGGCATTTGAACTTTGTTCTGCCCACCTATGTGTTGAAATGACAGCTCCAATAATAAATTGACTGTTAATTATGGTGGCTTAATGATCAAGTGATCCTGATTAGACTGTGGTCTTCAGAAACTTGTGGTGCTAGTTCTAGTTTGGATGGCATGAAGCCAGGCAAACCCACATGCTCCTCTCCTGAGAGAATAGCCAGAAGGGAAAAGCCAGGATCGTTGAAGAAAGCAGGTTTCTCAGCTTGAAAGTGAGGCACCATGGAGATTTTGAAGGGAAACAGGCTCCAATTAGATGATTGCCATGGGTATAACAAAGAATGGTTTTATTTAGTTGGGCAGCACTAGAGAAGGGGAGAAAGTATAGACCATGTGCAGTTCCAGCACTGATCTGTGGACCCATGTTGATCCATTACTGTGTGTTCTACAGTCTGGAGGAAAATGTAAGTAAAAGGATGTCAGCAGTGCATTCTTGAGAAGTCTTTAATTTTGAAATCATGGCCTTCCTACTTTTGTGTGTATTAAAAATGTCATTTCTTTTAAAAGTGATGGAAACTCCAGGAGGTTGTAGTTGTTTCTTTCAAGTCCTTACTTGACAAAAAAAAAAAAAAAAGAGGCTATAATAGAACAGTTACCATATTGTTTTGAGGGAGATATGACTACTCTATGAAATTCTGAAATTTGGGAACCTCAAGTGCAGGTGACCCCAAAGCCCCAAAGAGCTAATAATCTTCAAATTGCCATGTCGGTTTGGAGGGTTCACGTTCTTAAAAGAAATACATGTCTGTGGGGAGATCACAGCTCTTGAGTTTGGGGAGCCCCAGTCTGAAAGAAGCCTGCTCATCACAATCTTTAAGTATCTAAAGCTACACACACGCATTCTTATGACTGAGTGCTAACAACCTACCTGAAGGTTAAAGGGCAGCAGGTGGTTTGTAAAGAATAAAATGGACACAGGGCAAGGGCTCAGGAGCATTGGCAGGGCAAGCATAAAGCTTGGAAGCCCTTAGCATTGTTTACATTCAGTGGGAAAGTTTTCTCTTAGAGTCCTGCCCAGGAGGTGCCTCAGAGCCTCAGGCACCCCCCCCCCCCCAACACCAGGCTACATTTTTTTGTCCTCTCTCCAGCCCTCCTGGGTTAGCAGTTGGAAGAGGTGGTTGTCTTTGTTAGAAGTCTGGGAGAAGGACAACTCTGTAGTGGTTCACATCTGCTAGAATTACTTCTCCAGGAAGCTTCCTTAGATTCATCCACCCACTGGTTCCATCCTCTTTGACACTTTCCCTTTCCAAGTCCTTAAGGAACAACTGTACTAGTTACAGCCTGCTAATGACACACCCAATAGCCTTGTCTCCTTTTTCAAGTTATAACTGTTCTTGACAGCCAGGGCCCCATTAATTCTTTATTCTACACCCTAAGATTTAAAGAGAGTTCATAACATCCTGGGGCTTTATCTGGACAAGTTGACTCTTGAATGACTCTTTTGGGTACTCCTGGAGCTCACCCTTGCAGGGAGAAGGAGGCTCACAGCTAAGTTCTAGCACTCCTGAATAGCTTATAGATGCATGCAAGATGAGCAGTGTGCTCGGGGACCTCACTTGCTTGGCTCAGACACTTTCTGTGTGGACAGACTCTGGTGTTTATGGACTGCTGCCACATAGGTGTTTTGTCCATTCCTCACAAAGGTCCTCTGTGGGGTGCCTGGGTGGCTCAGTCGGTTAAGTGTCTGCATTTGGCTCAGGTCATGATCTCAGGGTCTTGGGATCGAGCCCCATGTGGGGCTCCCTGCTCAGTGGGGAGTCTGCTTCTCCCTCTCCTCCCCACTTGTGCTCTCTCTCACTCTCTCCCTCTCTCTCAAATAAATAAAACCTTTAAACAACAACAACAACAACAACAGATAAGGAAGCAACCCATAGAGCTAATGAAATTGCTCAAATTTCCACGACCTTTAAGCGGCAAAGCCAGGATTCAGTCAGTTCTTTCGATTCCAAATCTTGCATTCTTTCCAAGTACTACATGCCTCTTCCATTTGAATCAATATAAGCAGAATGAGGGGATGACATTCCAGTCTGGCTCAGGCTGACACCCTCTCGGAGGCAGGGAACAGAGCTTGCTCTCATGGACCCTCCCAGCTGCTCAGGAACAGTTCTATTTACTGGTGGACTGCAGGAGCCGAGGGGACATGTAGAGGTCATCTGATCGACCCTTACCATTGGTGAAGGTAGATGAAAAACCCAAGGCCCAGAGAGGCCAAACAATTTCCCATAACAGGGCTGATACTAGACCCTGGGTCTCTGGCCTCCCCACTCAGGGC